ATTATGGACTTTCCTTTTTGAATTTTCCTCGGAGTTCAGTATTTTTGTTATTTTAATTTTTTTTCAGACTGTTTATGCAGTCTTTGGATGTGTACTGTTTGATATTTTAGTCTGGTAAACTATGATTTATGTTTTAGCTGAATTGACTTTATAGTTGCTTTCATCTACGTAAGTTGGTTGGTATTAGTAATGATACCAAATCTTCTCATTTTAATTTTGAATTAATCTTCAGTAACTTAAAGTTCTTTTAGATATTATTTTGTGTCTTTTGACTTTTTGTTAGTTGCATTTTTGTTTTGTTTTGTTTAATGTGCTTCGGGCCGGTCTGATGAATGAAGCCCCTTCAAACTTCCACATTATTTTTATATTGTGTTGTAACACCACTCTCCAACACAGGTTAGGAACGTTGAACTTTGGTAAACATGTTTATCCCCGCTACATTTTGTATGTGCCTCTCCCAATTCAGGGGTATGTAATTCAGTGGTTGTTATTAAGTTATGGTTTTGTTCATTGCTGAATGTCGTATGTCAATATATAGTTGATTATATCCATCTTCATTTGGTCTCTTATAGATATGTGTATCATTGTCAATAATGCCACACCTTCTGAAAGAAGATAGTTGATGATAAAATATAAGTTAGGAGGAAAATGAGTTGTTCGTGAACAAATTAAATGTCATAGGGATGTTCGCTTCTCAAGTATTCAAATAAACTTTATACTTTATAAATCCTCTCTTTTTCACATGGGCTGTACTTGACATAGTTATCAATTGACTTTGAGTTTAAAGTGTTAATTAAAATAACGATCATAGATTTGCGCAGTATCAAATTCATTTCAGAATGGCAGAGAATAAAATTTGTACAGTTTGTCTGATCGAATGTGACACTATCAGTGAATGATAAAAAGGATGTCTAGTCGAAATTGAAATATGCTTGCTCATTGGGAAAGGATATCACTTTATTACAACATATTCTAGTGATTTTTATATTTTCCAGGCAATTAAACATCTGGACGCTAAAACACACGAGCAAGAACTGAAAATCCATCAAACCAAGCCAAAAAATTTAGAAAGAATTGAATTCCTCGTGTGAAAAAATTTCCAAACCGGCATACGTTTTGTCCATCATTAGTTACGATAATGGAAGAAAAAACATCAGCATTAGCTTCCGCTGCATTAGATAGATACCAACAGGGCCAGGCTATCGTTAGATCGCACGTTGACCAGAAGAAAATGTCCCTCGTTTCTACTTTTTTGACAGATATATTTGGGGAAAATGTTTTAATATATAAAGGGTGTTTCATTCCAGCTGGGAGACTTCTTCTGTCCCCCTTGATTGGGAACAAGCTTTTCATTTGCAATCTGGACGGAACGAAGGCAGAAACAGTGCAATTAGATTATACTCGCCATAGTGTGACCTTATACGACAACAATCAAGCTCTTGTTACATCTTTTAACGGACGATTCGTGCAAACCGTAAATTTAACAACATTAAAACCTGGAAAGAAAGTATATTTTGGTACAAGTTGCGGTGCAATTACCAGTTCAAACGGACGAATATGCTTATCTACGTATCAAAGCAGTTTAATAATAACTAATCTCGATGGTGACATTCTAAAAAAGACAACTACAGAACTGGATTCATTTGATATTTCTATAGATAGAACTGGTGACTGTTATTACACAGGAAGCTTCAACAATGTGTATGTTTTACCAGTAGATAGTGAAATGCCAATTCTATATAGCGAGATGAGTGGTGCACATAGAATTACAGTAGGTGATCACAATTGTATATATCTGTCACGAAGAGATTTGAATGAAATCATTAGAATATCAAAATACAATAAAGAATATAAAATTGATAATCTGTTGAATGCGGATGACGGAATCGAGTTGCCAACAGCACTTTCTTACGACGATGAAACAAAACAGCTGATGATAATAAACAATGCCTGGACATCTATTCATATCTATAATACAAAGTGATAATGTTCTAACTGTTTTTCCATACTAATTATTTCAATTATGCTTAATCTAATTATTTCATCATTTTTAGTAGATAACGACAAGGTAACTTTTTTTGTATATACGTTTACTAAACTTTAAATTCTTGAAATACTAAGGCTTTTCTACCTCAGGAATAGATTACCTTAGCTGTATTTGGCAAAACTTTTTGGATTTTTTGGTCTTCAATGATCTTTAACTTCGTACTTTATTTGGCCTTTATAACTTTTTTTGATTCGAGCGTCACTGATGAGTCTTTTGTAGACGAAACGCGCGTCTGGCACAAATACAAAATTTCAATCCTGGTATCTATGATGAGTTTATTGATACAATTATTCAAGTACATAATTTCTAATAAGCCTCCTATTTGTATGTTTTAATCTTGGGCTGCTCAATGGTCCAAAGTGACCGATTTTTATAGTTTGGCATCTGTCGTCGTCGTAGTTTTAATGAAGCACATTCCTGTCTGAAACAATTCTCTTATCTAGAGGGAAGAACCTTTCATGGAATGATATTTGTATATATTTCAATAGTCAAAACTGTATCCGACAGCTCTGATTTTCAACTGAGAGCTTTCGGATACTTGTTTGATTGACCTACTTTAGTAACGCTTTTGCAATCGCTTGGCGTATTTGATGAAATGAACATACAAAAACATATGCATTGGTAAAAATTGACTTATTTAATAAGAGTATATTTAAAGACAACGAAAAACAAACTTAATAAAATTTTACGTAATGTACTGATTTCAAGTTCAATAGTTGACAATGTACATGTATGTATTCGGGGTCCGTAATTTGAAATAAAGGAATTTGAAATTTGAACTTTGGTAGCCTAAATTTGAGGTATATTGATCAAGTATCGGAAGTTCGTTTGTATGTTGTATGTCTCAAAAACTATTTGTAAACAGGAATATTTAATGAATAGTGTTGGCTTAACATTTGACTTGGTAATCCCGTAGTGCTGATTCCTAAGTTTATAGATTTTTTTTCGGCCATATGCCATCTGCCTATAGTTTTCATAGTGTCGTGTTAAATGTTATCATGCATACGATTTAAACATGTTCATTCAAGCTTCAAGTGTTTAAAGCTCCAATTTTTCATTAAGTCTAAAATTGTATAATGCAAAAGCGTACTCTTTAAAAACAACATCGTATTAATATATCTATTTCGATTGGCATGAGAATTGGATACTTTGTAAATATTATTATTATTATCATTATTATTATTATTATTATTATTATTATTATTAAAAGTAGTAGCAGTAGTAGTAGTAGTACAACTACCAAAGCTTCCATAATTTTAGGGACAAACCTACAAATGTTTACGTAAATACCGATGAAGTATTCTATTAAGACTCTTTTATGTTCAAAACTCACTAGTTTTCATTAATCTCCGAATTTTTAACACATGAATGAAACATTTTTGGAAAGGAGACCATGCCTCTTTAAGAGCGTTTAGACCAGTCGACAACATTATTCCAATGCTTCCAAAACAACAGCATAAAAATTATTTCAAAACAGGTGACGTTTGCCATTATCTAAAGCTGGTGTCTATACCGATAAGACAAACGATAATGTTTGTATGTAAACTATAATTCTAATATGACGTCCTATTATCGTCAACCAGTATAATCACAATATATCTACCTTTAGCGCAAACGCAGTAATACACAAAAACGGCTGTTCCGCGTTACGACTAACTTATTAATACTACCAGATATTCTCAATTTTCTACATCAAAACCCCAAGTTTACGTAGGCCAAGATTCAGATACAATATATTTATCTCTATTCTACAGCAAAATTAACAAATCAGTCCATTTCAATTTATTTTTCATGGTAAAATTTCATAAAACGAAAATTCCGCGAAATGATGGCATGGCAACGAAACAAAGTGACGTCACAAGTATGTTTTCGTAAACAAAAAATCAAATGTAAATACCGGGCGTTTTAAAGCTTCCTGTACGCCTCAAAACGAATGAAATTACATTGGAAGAAATTATATAAGTGAAAAATGCGATTAAAAAAAAATAATCATTGAATTATATAATATTACTAATATTATCAAAATGGGTTAAAACGGAACAGCCAAAACAATATCGTATGAATAGGGCTTTCACGGTTAACAAAATTACAGAATTTGTCCTATTAGAATCGAAATAATTCATGGCAGCCGTAGATTTGTTTTCATTTAACCATGGGTTGGGCATTTATATTCGATCATTTTACCCTACGGCTGCCATGAATTATTTCTTAATTAACATATGATTGACTTGATACTGGACTATGGTATTGACATTTGATATTGCATCCATTACATATAAAGCAAAAACAGCATTTACAAGGTAGGAATGACAACGCTTGGGATTTTCCTGTGTATTTTCTTTTTAAACGAAAGAACTCGACTTTCAATGACATGATACTTTCACACCCGAAATTATGATTTGAGTGCTGTCCGCATAAAAACGAATGTATTCCCTTGTACAAACTTGTTTACGAATGTACACTGAGAATTGTTGTATTTTGTTAGTGTCGAAAATATAATAACGCTTTTCCGTGTAATAACTTATTTTGCAAACTCAATTTGAACTCGGCTATTCTATTCAAATACAAAATACAAAATAGAAACACAAACATATTTGTGAACAAAACGATGGGGAATTACATATATTTGAAAACAAAATGATGAGGAATTATAGAACTGCTAGTGCTCGATATCAATAAGGATCTCAAACGTCTTTGATCGTATTTACCTTGCTTTGCTTCTCTTTTTGGTGTTTGACCAGTTCAACATACAGAACTCGCCACCTCGATACTTAGATTAGACGTGATTATAAGGATGGGCATGCAATCTACTCCTCGACATTCTGACCAAGCCATAAGTATGTTAAATAATCAAAAAAAGATATTGCAAGCATGAAATAAATGGGATGAATTTTTCCACCTTCTTAAGTATTAAAAAAGCATCAATAGACATATTTACAGTATATAGCTGCAATGATTCATCCAACAAGTTTTAATAATATCAATATAAAAAGACATATTTTCTTATAACCAATATTTCACAAATCAGTTTTCCTGGACAATCTGCATATGAGAATACAGATTTTTGCCGAAAATTAAAGAGTTATGTATTTAATGCATTATGGGTTGTTTTTTTTTTCTTCTCCATTAACCCGATACTATTTTTCTGATAATCTCGAGTAATCATTTAAACATTTACTTTTAAAAAAGAACACCTAGTTACAATCATTTAGAATTTTCTTGTCTGATAAAGCCAACAAATTTATAAGTATACATTTCTCGTTTAGTTTTGCTTGACTTCAACTTTTCCTCAAGTAGTACAACATTTACTTGGAATTCCTGATTTATTTTTCATTAAACCTGAAAAAGATTAATATGTATTACATCATTTCAGAATTTTTCATGTTGTTTCTGTCATTAATATTATATTGCAGCTGTACACAGATACAAATGAGCGTGTTTTAAAATTTTGTTTATTACCGATATTATTCTTATTCCATATACAGTTATAATGTGTTTTTTATTTCTTTGGCCGCGGTGACTTTATGTAGAACTTTATTATTATAAAACTCAAAGAAGCGTACTGCGTGGAGACATTCAAAACAGCTGTATACTATTTAAAGACGAAGTTGTAATAGAAAATAAGGGAATTGTTTTTTAATCAAAACAACACAACATACTCATGACTCGGGGCAATTTATAGAATGTCGTTTTGTATTCACACAAATCAAAGGTTTAAGACCTTATATCGACCTCTCTATGTCTATTGATTGCTGTCTTAGTAACTCACCAATACCCTACAAAGGTTTAAGACCTTATATCGACCTCCCTATGTCTATTGACTGCTGTCTTAGTAACTCACCAATACCCTACATGTATATACAAAGTTGTGCGTATGCATTGATTTCTTCACCTCTACTGAACGCAATGTTCAGATAAAGGCTTTATTGTCGACTTTTGCATTCGTCTATGATATTTATCTAGTAAATAGACGTTCAAAACAAACAAAGTAGGTTCCCTTCTTCGACGTCTTCATTCAATAATAGGCATTTAAGAAAATCACTTACTTAATTAAAGAAGTTAAACGGAATGACATGACAAGATTGAAGAGCTATCAACTACGCACATAAGAACCAGGGAGGGGGTTGTTGTAGTTTTGAACCAAAAATGCGAGGACAGTTACAGATAAAAAGAAACATATAGGTATTGTAAACATGACTCCGATTGAAAAAATAAAACCGCTGGTGCTTCTGTATGTCCTGTAGAAATGGCTCTGCAAGGTTAGTTGAATTCAATCAAGCTATTTTCAACTTCGACGCGGACGGTGTAAACGCAAGACGATGCGAGATTCTTATTTGTCGCTGTACTAGTATATGGATGCTGTCAGGCGATACTAAAAATCAATGATGGAACATAATCCAAAATGATCCTGTAATACTGTTCACTGGACGATGGAAAAGTATTTTTCACCATTATAGTATCACTTAACAAGATGCCATGAAGTTCCCAAAATGCTCTCCTATGATAATATGCATATCTGTCTGCTATTTATTGCTAGTTTTTTCGGGTATATGTAATTAGATATGCAGCTTTTCGTTGTTATGCAGTTAAGTGAAATTAAGAATATTATCCCCGAAAAATCTTACGAGTACTCCTTTCGGCCAATCCCATCACTCCTTCAATCATACGGTCAATACCTAAGTAGTCAGACTTATTAAATGGTTAAAAATGGTTGGTTTGTCTTTATTTGCATGTTTATCATTTTTCTCTATCCGCTACTGTTTGCAAGATTATCTTTAAATGCGATCATAAAATTATCATTAAAGGGAAATAACTGCTAAATGGAATAAATTGATGGTTTAAGGATGTGTGCTGCTCTGTTTCAAAATAACGAGCCACTGAAAAGACTGAATAGATAGTTTATAAATAACAAAACTAAAATAGCAGAAAAACATGAAGGGTCCGTGTCCTTGATTTCGAGATATAATCCATTGATAATTTGGTTGAAATAATTATCTCTAGATTTTTCATACATTTAACATTCTTACTTTTTTATGTCAAAAGCTGTGATTAAATAACAAGGATTTTATAAGATTTTAAAACATGACAGGGTCTCGGCGGCCGAGAGGTCTAAGTAGTCGAACTACTGTATCACTATCCTGTCAGCACTGAGGTTGTGAGTTCAAATCCGGCATATGCGTTCGACTTCAGTCTTAATTGACTAGAATTGGCAGTTCTCCTGCCGAAGGTCGGTGGCTCTCCCAAGGCACTCAGACCTCCTCCACCAATAAAAACTGACCGCCACGAAATAGCGCAATAGTGCTGAAAGTGGTGTTAAACACAAATCAATCAATCAATCAATCCATCAATCAATCTAATATGGCTTTTTAAACTATATGAACAAACATTATGAAAAAAAGTATGGGTTATTTTGCAAAAATATTTTATAAGGCACTACATGGATAAAACCAGAGGATTAGGAATATATGACACAAGTCAATAAACAAGATGAGCGAACATCCTTAAGTCCTATTAACATGTTTGTAGATCTTGTATCTTTACTGATGTGAACTGTTTATGTCTACCTATTACTGTTTTAAGACTATAGCAAAATAAAACAATGAGTGAAAAAAAATAATTAAGGGCAATACCTTCTATAAAAAAATAATTCGTGATTGTAAGTCATATTGTTATATTGTGGATACTGTTTCAGTTTCTGCGTATCCATTATATTTTTCGAGATAAAAAGGAAACAAGCTTAATTAGTCAAAATCGTTGTAAGAAACATACATAGGGACCATTCAGGTCAATTTGGGTTAAAATAGGTTATGTTGTGTCAGAGAGAAAAAGAATGAAAAAATCTACGTTGTCTTACGAATGTTGGCAATTGAAGTCCAAAGGGCCAGGTGGTATCAAAATAATACAGAAACCCCCCAAAAATAAAATTGAGAATGGAAATGGGGAATGTGTCAAAAGACAACAACCCGATCATAGAACAGACAACAGCAGAAGGTCACCAACCGGTCTTCAATGCAGCGAGAAATTCCCGCACCCGGAGGCGTCCTTCAGCTGGCCCCTAAACAAATATATATACTAGTTCAGTGATAATGAACGCCATACTAAACTCCAAATTGTACACAAGAAACTGAAATTAAGAATAATACAAGACTGACAAAGGCTAGAGGCTCCTGACTTGGGACAGGCGCAAAAATGCGGCGGGGTTAAACATGTTTATGAGATCTCAACCCTCCCCCTATACCTCTAGCCAATGTAGAAAAGTAAACGCATAACAATACGCACATTAAAATTCAGTTCAAAAAGAATATGTTTTTCTGCGACCTATGCCACATTAGCGACAGATGAAAGCAATATAGATCTACACAGTAATACTATGCTATTTAAAATTGGAAGTCAGAAAACTACGTGAACAGGCGCCATGAATATGCATACAATCTTTCGACAATTTCCCATCTCTAAATTGGTTATCAAAACGGATTCAATTCATTTTCATAGATTTTTAACAAAATTTATTAAGAAAAAACCTTACCTCATGAATGAGAGGAATATCTAGCAGTGAATCCTCTGCCAATAATACTGCCGTCAGATGTAAATACTACGAGCATGTTATTGCTAGTTGACTGCACTGTAGTACTACTATTACTGGACCCAGACAGCTTCAGTAGGGGTGGATCTGATATAGTTGATCCTTCAAAGACCTGAATTATTTAAAAAAAAAATGAAAAAATTCAATAATAAATAAGTTAAATGAAATATTTGCATTAACAGACAATCGAAGCTAAACACAAGGGATGTTAAAACACACAAATAACTTTTAACTATCTACTTCAAAATCTATAAAAAGATATAAGATGTGAAAAACCATGGAATGTTTTTATAAAACTAAGGGGTATCGTTTTTTTCTATTTTTCATAATGCTCTGGAACCGGTGGAAAATGTTAATTCTCCGTCAGTCGGATACTCACACTGTTATATACTGTTTATAACGTTGATGGATTAAAACTACTTTGACGAAAAGAGAAAATAAGAGTGTAGGACGCCATAGTTTTTATATTATCCGGCTAGGCATTTTATGTAACTTTGTTCTCATTAATACTTTGGGATTAGCTAAATCTTGAAAAAAATACAACGGAAAATTTTTTTTGGGGGTAAAGTGCCTTTTTTTAGGAGGTAATTGACTCCTTATGATAGTTATTTCCCTTAAAAAACAAATTTTACATGATTGCTCTTGACTTAAACTACAGTTAATGTAGATAGAAATTGTAAACACCTCAAATAATCAGCAAAGTAGGACCTACAAATAAATTAATGACCAAAGTCGTGGGTCGATTCCTTATCTGAATTATCGTCGTTCAAATGTGGTTTTACCCATTCCGTAGTTTTCGCTATAATCTTATATATTATTTTCTTATATAGTAACTTTAAACACGAAAATTGATTGGCATTACGAGAACTTGAGATAAATCGACATTGTAGAAAATGAATCTTTTTGGAGTTATTGCCCTGCAATAATAAATTGTTACCCATTGTTTGCTTTTCTTGGTTAAAACTGTAGACGATGAAATAAATTGTAAAATGCGAATACGATTTACCAAACACAAGATCTATGAATTAGCTCAATGATTTAAATCATCGGTCGACTCCTTAAAGAAGTTATGGACATTTAATGACGATTTTTACCTATTTTTGCTAAAACAATAATACATCACATAAAAGATAATCAGCAAGAAATGAAAAGCATATATTTAAATCAAATGACCGATATCATCAGTCGACCTCATTTAGGAGTGTATGCCCTTAAATGACGGTTTTTATCAATTTTTACATGTTTAACTATAATCATGCATATACTGTTCGGTGTGAGCCAAGGCTCCGTGTTGAAGACCGTACTGTGACCTATAATGGTTTACTTTTATAAATTTTGACTTGGATGGAGAGTTGTCTCATTGGCACGCACACCACATCCTCTTATATCTATATATACAAGATTGAGAGAAACTTTTCAGGCAAAAAAAGGTTAAGTAGACAATATCTACAAATAAGTTAAGATGACTAAAATCAATTGTCGAATCTTCATAGAAAATGATCCCTTCAATGACGAGGACGACGTCACATAAGTAAATAAAACAGTCACAAATAACAACAATGCACCAGAAACTTTACTTATAGATGTCAACATACAGTCTTCTAACAATGACAGCCTTTCTAGATCTGTGAGACCCCTTTACTCTCAAAATTGTTTGGTCGTCAACAGTGCTTTGTGAAATGTATGATTTTCAAAGGAAATATGTTTTAACAAGATGACTTTATATATAAGATTATTAATTAAATTGACAGTTAAATGTTTTGTGGCTGTTTGTGTCCCTTTGGCATACTTGTATACCCAACATCTCCTTCTATTCATATTCGAAAAACATTATACTGATATTTTTTCAAATTCCTTAGATCTTATAATGTTTAATGCAAAATTCAACTGTGATATATTTCAATTAGTAAGTAAATTACAGATCGTATATTTGTAATATTGATAAGATCATGACATTCCTATTAATTTAAGTTGATGCATTTCTCTTACCTGAACGAGATCACAACATTTTTCCGTAATAATTGTAGAAAATGTCAGGGTTATACTCTGTCCAGCTTGCAATTGTATGAAATATTTGTACCTAAGGTTATTCGTATAATTGCCAGGGTAGTTCGGAGAACTAAGTATACCTGAAGTGTCTGTAAAGTATCGGTAATTCCCTATAAAACAATCAAAAATTGATATTATCTTATGCATTTTCAGCGGTCCCTTTAGATAATTGCCCTTTTTAATTTTATAAGCGTATATTGTAATCTTCCTTTCGGAAGAACACACAAGTGATATTGCCTACATATAAAATCATGTATTAAATTTTTGCTTTAAAATCTGATAAAATGGCTTCGTTTCATTTAACATGCAGTCTACTGTATCATCACATTGCTAAATCATCAAGTTATTACGTATATTATAAGTTAATAATATTCGATTAATAATATTTCGCACAGTTGTTCATAATATTCGAAATGCCAAGGACTTGCATCATTCGTTTTTTATTCTGTGGATTAAGGAATGAAAATTAGAAAAAGCTGACTATGTAAAAACATCTTCCTCTTTTTATGCTTCTCCATATGTATTCATCGAATGAATTTTTGGATTATCAGGAAATCTAGAATTTTCAACAGCTCGTTTGTTAGAACCAGTCGTGTGTATAATTTAAAAAAAAATATGTAGAGTAGTTGACGTACACTACGCCTTGAGTGTAAAAAACAAATCAAGGCATCTGAGGAACAAATGATTCTTACAACTAATCAACAGATACACCATACAAAACACGAAAATGTATGTTTCCAGCGGAGGTTGAAAACGACATTAAGGTACTATGAAATGAAATTTAAAGTCGAATGATAATTTAACAAGCACAAAAGTTTGCAATGCGAATTGGGTATTGCCCAAATTCCTAAATTTTTTGAATTTTTTTTGATAAAAATTGCAGTTTTAAAAACATATTTTACTTGTAAACTTGAAAACAACATAACTGATACATTAATTGAACCAAAACGACGTTAGAGATTATAAACAAATGAGGTGATCATATTTCCTTTTGCGATTATGCGAGTTTTTCGATCAAATATTTCCACTTTTTATTTTAACATGTAAGTAGAATATTGCTTCCATGATTAAAACAACAAATAATATGGATAAATTAAGGCGACAGTAGTTTACTGATGTTCAAATATTGTAAATATTCTAGGAAGAGACAAATCAGGGTAACATACAAAAAATTAGGGAATCACATGAACTTCAAAAGGAGCGATAAACTAGAAATACTTACATTCACAATTATCGCCATCGTAACCTCCCGCACAAATACATATGTAACCGCTGAACATGTTTCTGCATATTCCATTATTACGACAAGGGTTAACGTCACAAGGTTTATCTAAAATACAAGATAAAGTTATTGTACTGTTATGGTGAAAGAGAAAAACTTAGATACTAAGATTAAAATTGTGTACGCCAAACACGTGTTTTTTTTTACAAGAGACTTATCAGTGAAGCTCGATTTATATTTTTTCCTTAGATATGTGGATGTGATATGTGATAGTGCGATCTCATCCATCAAATGTTTCTTATTTGCATTTAAGCTACAAAAAATCTAGAAATACTTACTTTCACAATGATTGCCATGGTAACCATTTGGACAAATACATCTGTAATTGTTGACCATGTTTCTACATACACCATTATTAAGACAAAGGTTAACGTCACAAGGTGCGTCTTAAAAATAAAAATATATCCGTCACTTCAATGGTTGGTCTAAGTTTCAGATTCCATATGTGTATTCTGAGATTCTGACACTAGTATGGATCAGTTTTTTTTATATGTGAATAAATTATAATTAGATAAAACGAAAATTTTACTTGAAATCATGCTAGATATTGTTTTTCAGAACTAAATAATTCATCTGACGTCCTACGTAGCAATTTTTGTATCTAAGTTTCAGATTCCATATGTCTATTCTGAGATTCTGACACTAGTATGGATCAGTTTTTTTTATATGTGAATAAATTATAATTAGATAAAACGAAAATTTCACTTGAAATTATGCTAGATATTGTTTTTCAGAACTAAATAATTCATCTGACGTCCTACGTAGCAATATTTTACAAAATCATGTCAAATTGCAATTTTGCATCAAATTACTTATACAGCAAATAGTAAAATAAAAAAAATACCGAACTCCGAGGAAAATTCTAAACGGAAAGTCATTAAGCAAATAGCAAAATCAAAAGCTCAAACACATCAAACGAATGGATAACAACTGTCATATTCCTGACTTGGTACAGGCATTTTCTTATGTAGAAAATGGTGGATTAAACTTGATTTAATAGCTACCTAAACCTCTCACTTGTATGACAGTCGCATAAAATTCCCCTATATTGACAACGATGTGTGAACAAAACAAACAAAATTTTGTATCAATGATCCTCAAGTCGCAACCGAAGACATCATTAATGTTGAAGTCATTTCTTCTGTCCCAAGGCTATTCTATTTATCACGAAAATGCCCATTTCATAGTAACTTTAATCTTTATTTCTTTGAAACCAATAATTTCAAGACGTAACTTTAAAGTTAAAAATAACAGGTATTAGAGTGTTAATGCCTTTTTGTATTATGTTATAATACCTGATGATTTATTTTCACTATAGATTAAAGAATATCACATGACCACATTTGCTTAAAGGAAACAGCTAAATTCATAACTAATATGAATTAAATCTTTACCGACACCTTAGGCATTAATATTCTATATTTCTGGTTTTCCATGAAACTAAAAGTCCAATTAATACTTGAATCTATTTTTTCCATTCTAAAACTGTGAAAAAGCCAAGGGTAATGTATATTCTAATATAATGGTATACACAGACCTGTCACTTGATTGGATATGTCAATTGGTCATAAGCTTACATCTTCATAGTACACAATTTTATTTAGGGGCTAGCTGAGAACCACCTCCGGGTGTGGGATTTTCTCGCTGCGTTGAAGACCCATTGGTGGCCTTCGGCTGTTGTCTGCTCTTTGGTCGGGTTGTTGTCTCTTTGACATATTCCCCATTTCCATTCTCAATTTTATTATGATTTACACAACCTCTTATATATAACTAATATAAATGATTCCATGGGATTAACATCTTTATCTGCAGAAGTTTTATTGACACAATTTAATTGATCCGTTTAAATCGGATAAACCTGTCACAGATTGTATACATATTTGTATATGATACCTGAAAATATATGAATGTGTCATGATTTTCTTATGAAATATTTATATGGGTAGGGATTTATAGAAAACTTTAATATATAAATGATTTTTAAACGACATCTGCAAGTCTATATGCGAAATTTTATAATGAATGTTTTGTATCTATTTTTTTTAATGTTCGGGAAAATCAAGTTTCAACCAATTGAAATGTTTATGGTTTCTTCTATCCTCACGGCATGTATAACTATATACATAGAATATGAAATAACGTTTCGGAATTTTCGACTTCACCACTTGGAACCCTTGGTAAATAATTTCCTAGTAAGCAGCAACCCTCAACCAAGGACATCATTATATCAATTGCATCAAATGGGAGATACATACTTCATATGAAGGCGTTGCTGGAATGTTGTTACTTTAAAATGGAAAATTCACAACTGAAAAGCTGTAATCATTTGTTTTGCCTTAAAGTGTTGTTTTCAAAGCACCCTCATTGTCAATTTCTAGATGTTAGTCTAGATATTTGATGCAGACTTAACTGTATCTGGTGTAACTTTTATTTCAAAGTCGATGGAATCGATGCGTTCAACATAGTCAACAAACTTTGAATCATTTAGGGAGAAGGCATCATCAATATTGCGGAACTAGAAGATAAAGGATAAGGCTAGCGTCTTTTGATTTTTCCTGAATGAAGTCTGCCTTATCTAAATAAAGGAACAAGTCGCCAGGAATAGGATTACTGTTGGTTCCCATGGGAAAGCCAATTGTTTTTGAAAAAAAAACATGTTCTCCAAAAGTAACAAATATGTTGTCAGTTTGAAAGTATTTTTTGTTTCAAACAGGGTGTTTCTTTTTATATGATTTGTCCCTCCTAAATCAAAATATCAGTATCTACGTTGGTCATTCTATTTTCAAAACAAAGCAAGACCATTTTTTTTTCAATTTGTCTTGATGATTGGAATGGGGAATACTTTCTGCAAAATTTAATAAAGGCAAAGTTTTTTTTATTCTATTGCAAGGAGAAAGAGACTAAGATTATAAGTTTTCTAACACATCTGTGGAATCTTTAAGTATCCATATCTGATTCTCACCGCCCCATCAGTAGAAAATTGCAAATAAACTTTAAAGACTTGCTTTCATTGATTATAAAATTGATTTTAAGTTTTTAGAAAGAGGTTTCTTGGTGCAGTTTGAAAACCCAGCAACCAAACGTTGTTTGTAATGACACATCTGTAAATTCAAAAGGAACATAGAACATGCCTAAGCATATTGAATATTTCCTGTTTGGTAAGTTTGTTGGGGGTATATGTTGCGTTTCCAAGTGAATTAATAATCTCTAATTACTATGTAGGGTTAAACAGAACCATATTCTTATTTAATTATATTTTTTATTAATTAATATGCACTATGACATTAACTTTTAAAAAATATCCAGAATAAATGATCGCATATTTTTCATGTTTTTATGATTTGACAAAATTTTTATTTACCGTTTGAAAAAATAATTCATGAAAAAAATCCATGATAATGATATAGTATTTTTTTGTTTTTCGTTTTCATTGTAAGATTTAACGTCCGTTTTTCAATGTCAATATGGTTTACGTAAAACCCAGTTTGACAGAATACTTGTAGTTCAACCTTGGAACACGAGGCTAATTTACAACTAAATGTCCTGGTTTGTAATAATATAAGTTATCAAACTTTTAATGGTGTTTTGAATCTCAATGTAATCTTCTATTGTGTGTCATTTGAATAAGATTGTAGATTGAAGATTGAAAATGCGATGTGCTTACTTTTTCAATAACAGGATATTAGCTTTGAACGTGATTTATTTTAATTGTTTTTAGAAATCATCTAATTTAACATGCACTGGAGATCATGTTGGAGAGCCTCTTTAATCACTGAATGTAACTTACCAAATGTTAGGCAGATATAATAATTGTACATGGCGGGAACACATTTTTGGCCAACTTCACATTGGTTTTGAGTGCATCCATCTTTATCCTATAAATAAATAAGATATCGTAAAAATTAAGATATTCGTACGTACTTACTTGCATCACCCTGTTTCTATTCTATTAACGGCTACTGACAAAGTTGTACGCGAACGATTTCCCGCGCAAATTTGTATATTTTATTGCAAAAACGAATAACCACAAAAATAAAATGAAAAAAAATTCGGAATACGGACTTCGTCCTCTTTTACAGGTAACTCCTGTCTCATATAAATAAAAAAAATACTGGTATGCGAATGCGTAAACCTTTTTCCTAAATATATTCCACAATTCTAAGTCACACAGATTACATGAATATGTTTCACATGAATGCTATAAATCTATAGATCAAACTACCTATTACAAATGCATTCTTTAATTGAGTTAATAACTGAATGTTTCATACTCGTTTTGAAACTGCATCAACGTTACATAAATCTTTTTGGTCGTTCTTTGGTCCCTGAGATGAAAAAAAAGAGTAAAATTCTTTGTGGTATGATTGCCAATGTGACAAATCTACACAAGAGACCAAATGACACAGAAATTGACAACTATAGGTCACCGTACGGCCTTAAACAATGAGCAAAGCCCATACCGCATAGTAAGTTATAAAAGGCCCCGAAATGACAAATGTAAATCAATTCAAACGAGAAAACTAACGGCCTAATTTATGTACAAAAAATGAACGAAAAACAAATATGTAACACAACGACAACCACTGAATTACTGGCTCCTAAATTGGGTTGTTCAGATCAAATAGAATGTGGCGGGGTTAAACATGTTAGCGGGATCCCAAACCTCCCCCTAACCTGGGACAGAGGTTTTACAGTACAACATAAGAAAGAACTATAAAAATCAGTTGAAAAAGGTTTAACTCATCAGATGGATACAAATAGAGTTACATCTAACAAAAACACAGAGTGGACGTGGCCGGGTACTTGTACGTATACATTCCAACAACAAAAAGACACTAAGTACAGATCTTAGAGTACTCGCAGTTACTGACAGCTAGTTCAAAGCCAATAACAACTAATAAAAAAAATCATGCATCTAAGACTAAAAAATCAATCATTATACATCCAACATCCAACATCTAATGGACTTAGTGTAAAGACGTCATAAACAGTCAGAGAAAAACATGACCTTGTGCAATGCCAAGAGACAGGAATCGACAGAATGTAGATCCATGAATGTGCATATGTATCTAACAATAATATTTAGTTTGCTTTAATTTACTGATAACAAAATCAATATTAATACCAATAAAAACGATATTCAAATTACAGTGTTGAATTGGTAACATTTTAGAATAAGTTTATTTAAAGGATCGATAAGTTTACCAGGACATTAATTTTATTAAGTAATAAATAAGACGATATATTCGAATAACCTTATATGATTAAATAGAATTATGGAGTAAAAGTCAATTTGACAGCAACCTAACCACAACAACAACAACCAGGATACATACACATGTTGGGCAACAGACAGTCCCGAGTATATAAAAGTTGTGAATAAAATAAACACAAACAATCAAATAGCCATCCATAACAAATCCTCTTAATAACAAAAAAAAAAAATTAAAAACCAATTGATCAGATAAGAATTGAAGGTCTTTCCACCCTAAAATGCACATATTTTTATATGAATATATTGAAAGCCCGTTTAAACTGTCATTTCTTTTGTCAGGTTATAGCTTACTTAAAGCGAATTCCAAAAATATATGGTTTATATACACGTTTTCTTAAAGTAAGGGATAATTTGTTACTTTTGGTTTGAAAAATGTCCCTTCCTATATTATATAATAGGTCACCTGATACAAATAAGAAGATGTGGTATGAGTGCCAATGAGACAACTCTCCATCCAAGTCACAATGTATAAAAAGTTAACAATTATAGGTCAAAGTACGGCCTTCAACACTGAGCCTTGGCTCACACCGAAAAGCAAGATATAAAGGGCCCCAAAATGACTAGTGTAAAACAATTCAAACAGGAAAACCAACGGTCTAATCTTTATAAAAAAACGAGAAACGAGAAACACCTATGAACCACACCAACAAACGACAACCACTGAACAATAGGCTCTGGACTTAGGACAGGTGCAAACAAATGCGGCCGGTTTAAACGTTTTAACAGGCACCAACCTTCATCCTAACCTGAGACAGTAGTATAACATTACAACATAAGAAGGCACACTTTAGAATATCGATTGAAATGACTTAACTCGATCAAAAAGATATTTAAACAAAAACAGGTTAACATACACTGAACGAATACGTTTGATCTTTGTCAAAATATAAATACAATATTAAAACGTAGGTGCCTATATAACAAAGTCATTACAGGTATTAATAAAAAAAGATGACACTGATTCTAAAAGAATACGGTTGTAGATACTTTTATATTGAATTCAAATAAATAAATACAAAAAATGTGTACTTCCGGTTTACTAAGGTCATGTGTATTTGATTTTAATTTTTATGATGATTTATCTTAGCTTAATTTGTTTTGTGTGGCCTGATAAGTTGTTTACATGATTGGGTAGTGACCTGTTTATAGTTGTTTACAAATAATGTAATTGTGTAGTTTAAAAATCACGGTTACAATCGTAGATACTGATGGAATGAAGAAAAAAAATCAGAACAAAATCAAAAGGTCTATCCACGGAAAAGTCAAAATACTTTATTGAGATTGACACAGGACATAATCTGACATGGTTCCTTACAAGGGACAGGCTCGTGAAAGTGAGGTTAGATTAAAATACTTTTTAGTTCAGAAATGTCTCCTGCTATATCACTGTTACCTACGTAAAATGCATTCAAAATTAATTTTCAATAATAAGGAGATGTGGTATGAATTTCAAAGAGACAACTATCTACCAAAGTTGAAATGAAGTGGATGTAAGCAATTATAGGCAACCATACGGCCTTCGAACATGAGAAAAACCCAAAACGTATAGTCAACTATAAAAGGCCTCGACATCTGAAATATGAAACAATTAAAAAAAAAACGAGCGGCCTAATTTATAACAAAACAATTTACAAAAAACAAATATGGCAGACATGAACCAACGAAGACCACTGAATTAGAGGCTCCTGACTTAAGACATGTACACCAAAAACTCAAAAATGTGGCGGGGTTAAATATACTTGAAGACATCCCCCCTCCCCCTCACATGGGACGGTGGTGTAAAAGCACAACAAACTATATAAATCAGTTCAAATGATTTAACTAATCAGATACAGATAGGTGCAAAGCAGAACAACATCTAACAGACAGACCTGAAGTGGGAATTTATACAAACCTCACAACAAATAGATACAAAATACAGATCTGAGAGTACTCGCAGTTACTGAAAGCTAGTTCAAAGCCGATAACAAATAATAAAGACATCATATATCTAAGACTAAAATATCAATCAGTACGCGTCCAACATCCAATGGATTTAGTGTTAGGACGTCATTTACAGTCAAAGTAAACATGACCTTGTGCAATGCCAAAATATAGGTATCGACAGATTGTAGAACCGTGAATGAGTACATCAATGATATTTAGTATGGTTTTCAATTATTAATCACTATAAATACCAATTAAATAATATTTAAAGATCTAACCACAGTGTTGAATTGGTAACCTTTTAGAATAAATTTATTTAAAGGATTGATAAGTTTACCCGGACTAAATATACACTGGTTAAAACAAATCAACAAACAAACAAAAAATCAACAAATAATCTGATAAATTCTTGTCCTTCGAGCGTACCCTCCACCACCGTTTGGTATATGTCACCACCACATGCACAACATATATGGATCCGTGCTTCTGCGTCGTCAGATGATTTGATTGACACATGTGGAGCAAGATCTGCTAACCTGAGCACTGGAGCACCTCAGATCATCTCGGTTTTTAGTTGTGTTCGTGTTGCTCTGTTTTTATTTTTTTTTGTATTGTTGTTTGTCTTTTCGTTTTTTTTGCAATGGAATTGTCAGATTGTTTTCGACTGATGAGTTTGAATATTCCAATGGTATCTTTCGTCTCTCTCTTCGAATTAATATCTTATGGAAAATGAATAACACGATTCTAAAATGACAATAACTTACCTTTTTCCAACTACCTATCTCCGTATAAAATAAGCCATCCATATCAATTATGTTGTCACCAGGGAAGGAAACTGCCAGCAATTCACATTCTAAATGAGTTCTGTCAAAATTCACTGCGTTGCACCCCTTGTACAACATGCAGTCTCTGACGCACATCAATGGACCAACTTTGTGAAATTCAAAAATTACATGTGAGTCACTATATTTGTTTTTGGTAAACGAAGAACCGGTTACGTTAAGTGAAATTCCCCCAATAGTTCTAGTAATCAACATTGAAATGAAAATTTCAGGAAAGTGTTGCAACATTGTAGCTCTCAATCCAAAGTAACTATTCAAACTAATTTCTTCATGAGGAATATAATCTGCTCACTCGTGTTTTGTTGACTAGATACGGTTGTTATGACTATAATTGTATTACAGCGTTGTAGCTGTCCACTTCTTTGTCGAGATTTGATTGGTTGTTTCGAACTCCAGTTCATTTGAATTTCATACTTGATACACCTACAGGTTTTCCGTTACTCAGAGAATTGACGTCATCAATAGTAAATTTAAAACCAAGTTCAGTAAAATCTCGGTTTTCATTTTTTACACTGATATACATTACTTGACAAAAACATAAGTTTTTGTAAGCAAAAATAACTGTAAGCTCCATTTGTTTGCTCCATTTTCTACTTTTTTAATTTTTAAAATTAGTTTCCTTATGGTATAGATGCTGTTTTTTTTTAAAATTTGATCAGAACTTACAATGAAACATCTCTGTGTGCTAAAATTTTATCATAAAGTGTGATATGCTATTCAAAATTAAATCGCATTGATATAAACTGAGATTTTACATAATTTAGTTGTACAGATTTCCTCAAAAATATTTTTTGTTAAAACGTCTTTTATAGTTTTATTAAAACACACGAATTTTGAGAAAAATCTTATCACTTCCGTATCATATTAAAATTTGGATGCGATTCCAAA